CAGCCATCAGTGTTGTTTGGTGGGCCCAGGCTGGATTCGAACCCGCCTTCTTAGGTGTATGTGGCTGGTGCCTTAGCCACTTGAGCCACAGGTGCTGAGCCAAAAGTACAAATTATATTACCTTAAGTTCCTTATATAAACTTGATTTGCTAATAATGAGTAATTTATTCAATGATTTTTTCAACTTTTAGTTGTTGCTAGTAAATTTATATAAGTAAAAGCTATCTTCCAAAACAGTGAGAAAAGTGGAAGGCTGGCAGACCCCTGACCAGAGCACCCTACGGCAAGCCGTGCTGCCATAGCAGTGACCCTTTGGAGTGAAAGTCTCTCCTGGCGAACACAAATAAGCCAGTGAGATGATGAATGCAAATGTGGCATTTCTACAGATATCTTCTAGTACCTCAAGTAACCATTAGTGTCTTTTCTTAGCTTTGTAGTTTTATTTTATTGATTGATTTTTTTTCAGACAGAGTCTCATTATGTCACCGTCGGTAGAGTGCCATGGCGTCACAGCTCATAGCAGCCTCTAACTCTTGGGTTTATTAACCCAGCAACCGTTTCATAGAGTCACCTAAGACCATCCCGCATATCAGATATTTACATTACGATTCATAACAGTAGTAAAATTACAGTTATGATGTAGCAATGAATATAATTTTATGGTTGGAGATCACCACAACATGAGGAACTGTATTAAAGGGTCAAGGCATTAGGAAGGCTGAGAACCACTGGCTTAACTGATTCTCTTGACTCAGTCTCCCAAGTAGCTGGGACTACAGGTGCCCACCACAATGCCTGGCTATTTTTTTTTTGTTGTTGTTGCAGTTGTTATTGTTGTTAAACTGGCCCAGGCCAGGTTAGAACCTGCCAGCCTCAGTGCATGTGGCCGGAGCCATAACCACTGTGCTAAGGGCCCTGAGCCTTACCTTTGTAATTTTAAATTACTTATTTTATTGATTTTTCTCTAATAATCCTCCGAGGAAAAATTGGTCTCTTGGAAGTTCAAAAAGAAAAAAAAAATCAATCTTAAAACTGAGAGAAAGCAAAAAGGGCAATCCAAAAAGATAAATGTCTAAGTCAACAAACCTGTATAATGTGGTCCTCACTTGTAATCTCAATTGCTTCTTGGCTTTTCTCTAGTGCAGTGAATACTGAGTTACATGTCCTGTATGGGTAGGAAGAAAAAGGGCCTAATTCACATAAATATTACAAAATATAATAAAATCTTAGGATAAAGGTACACTAACTTATTACAATGTGGCTTTTGTCTTATTTATAAGAAAGAGGGAAACCACTAAAAAACATCAGAAGTAAGCGCCCTGCTGCCCTCACGAGAAGGCTGTGGTGGCTTCTTCCCGCGTAGGGCCATGGGCTGCTCTTTGGTGCTGTGGGGCCCTGGGTAAGGGACTGCACCCCCTAAAGACTCCCCCACACCACCTGAAGAGCCCTGATGAAGACTCAATGAGAGAACAGGCTCAAGACCACCACATAGAGCTGGAGAGAAGAGGCCATCAATCGTTTGCAGCTATTACTTTAAACAGATTATTTTCACATTTTGAATGACTAGCTTTGGTGCTTTCTTCACTTAGCCTTCTACTGTGAGCATCTTCCCATGACCTCTGTGTTTGCAGAAATTTTTCAATTACACAAGTAACAAAAGTTTATTGGAAAAATTAGATAAACAAAAATAAACGAGATACCATATCACACTCACTAGGATAATAAAAAAGACAGACAATAACATGTTGGTGAGGACACCTCAGATACTGGCCAGTGAGATTGTAAAATGGTACAGTTTGCACTCAGTAAACGTTTGGAAATTCTTCAGATGGTTAAACATAGAGTTACCATATGATCCAGCTATTCCATTCCTAGGTAACATGCCCAACAGAAATGAAACTATATGCCCACACAGAAACACATACACAAATGCTCATAACAGCATCATTCATAATAGGTAAGAAACAGAAACAATCCAAATGTCTATCAACTAATGAATGAGTGGATAAATAAAATGTTTTATGAGCCATACAATGGAATATTATACATAAAGTCCCGATATGTGTCATAACATGGATATAACATGGATAAACCTTTAAAGAGCTATGCTTAAGTAAAAGAAGCCAGTTACAAAGGACCACTTAACATATGATTCCATTTATATGAAAGTCCCCAAATAAAAAAATCTACAGAGATAGAAGGCATATTAGTGGCTGCCCAAGGCTAGGGTGATGAACATGTTCTAGCACTGTGGTGACCAATGCACAACTCTATGAACATAGGGATATAGTCAGAGTCACTGACTATACCTCAGCAGAGCTCCTAAAGATAAACGAGATTAAATCACCTGAAATCCCAACATCTGGGCATATCAACTGGTGTTCTGCACATATAATGTGTATTTACAGAAAACAGGATCCTACTCGACAGTTTTAAGAAATCTGCTTTCTCAATGAATAACATAGATTAATGTCTTTCCATATCAATAATTACAGTTCATTTGGCTGGGTGTGGTGGCTCATGCCTGTAATCCCAGCACTCTGGAAGGCCATGGCAGGTGGATTGCCTGAGCTCACAGGTTCAAAACCAGCCTGAACTAGAGCGAGACACAATAGTGGGGCATTGTGATAGGCACTTGTAGTCCAAGCTACTTGGGAGGCTGAGGCAAGAGAAATTTCTTGAGCCCAAGAGTTTGAGGTTGCTATGAGCTATGATGCATGGCAGTCTACTGAGGATGACAAAGTGAGACCCTGTCTCAAAAAAATAACAGTAATAGGCAACATGTGGTTGCTCACACCTGTAATCCTAGCACTTAGAGAGGCCAAGGAGGGTGGATTGCTTGAGCTCACAAGTTCAAGACCAACCTGAGCAAAAGTGAGACCCTGTCTCTACTCAAAATAGAAAAAAACTAAGGCAAGAGGATCACTTGAGCCCAAGAGTTGGAGGTTGCTGTGAGCTATGACACCATGACACTCTACCCAGGGCGACAGCTTGAGATTCTGTCTCAAAAAAAATAATGATAGTTACAATTCCTTATTATCATTTTTAATAACTATATAGTATTCCATTATAAGGTTATATGATAATTATTTCAATAAATCCTCTATGACTAGACATTTAGGTTGTTTCTGGTTTTTTTTCTTATATAAAAAAATCTACCAAAGAATGATTAGGAGATTCTCTTGCCTCAGAAGATGAAAGAAAAAAAAAACCTGATTATTCGTAAAGTGCAGAGACAGCACTAAGTAAACTCTAAGAATAACAATGCTTTTACATTATTCCTAATATTCCTCAATTGCCTCACTCAATAAAGCCTAGCCAAGAAAAATTAGCTCCTTTTGGCATGTAAAAAATCAAAGAGATGGTATGTGAACTATACCTCAATGAAGTTTTAGTTTTTTAAAAAACTGGCCTGGCACGGTGGCTCATGCCTGTAATCCTAGAACTTTAGGAGGCTAAGGAAGGAGAATTGCCTGAGGTCAGGAGTTTGAGACCAGCCTGAGTAAGAGCGAGCCCCTGTTGCTATAATATATTAAGAAATTATCTGGGCTTGGTGGCACATATCTGTAGTCCCAACCACTCAGGAGGCTGAGGCAGGAGGATCACATAAACAACGGAGTTTGTGGTTACAGTAAGCTATGACACCACTACACTCTAGCCCAGGTAACAGAGCCTGCTACCAAAACCAAAAAACAAAACAAAACAAAACAAAAAACCCCCAAACAAGAAGAAGTTCCCATCTCTGATCTAACAAGCTTAGAGGAGATGGATCTGTGAAAAGCCCCTTGGGTTTTAACATTCTTTTTTATTTTGGGGGGGACAGAGTTTCACTTTGTCACCCTTGGTGGAGTGCTTTGGTATAATAGCTCACAGCAACCTCACACACTTCAGCTCCAGTGATTCTCTTGCTTCAGTTTCCTGAGTAGCTAGAACTACAGGCGCCCACTACAACGGCCACCTATTTTTAGAGATGAGGCCTCATTCTGGTTCAGGCTGGTCTCTAACCTGTGAGCTCAAGCAATCCACCCACTTCAGCTTCCCAAAGTGCTAGGATTATAGGCATGAGCCACTGCTCCTGACCCGTTCTTTTTTACAACTTTTTATAGCTTTTGCAATCTAATAAATAAAAAATGTTAAATAATTTTCATTTCCATTTCTTTATTAACAAGATTGAACATCTTTTCATATCTATTGGCCATTAATATTTCAAGAACTGCTTGAGCCTGTCTTTTAAAATTTTTTTTACTGGGGTATTTCCATTTTTAACTGATTCATCAAAACTCTTTATGTATTTAGGATTTTAACCTAATGTCTGTCCTATATGTCACAAACATATTTTTCTAGTTTGCCATGTCTAAATTGTTAACCTTATTTAAGGTTTTTGTTTTTTGAACTATAGACAAGCTTAGCATTATTTATTTATTTATTTATTTATTTTTGTAGGTTTTGGCCAGGGCTGGGTTTGAACCCACCACCTCTGGTATATGGGGCCAGTGCCCTACTCCTTGAGCCACAGGCACCACCCAAGCTTAGCTGTTTTTATGATGTCTAATCAAATTCTCTTCCTTTATGGAATCTGGCTTTTATGCCATGCTCATTTCAGTCTTATTTTATTTTTTTGAGACACAGTCTCACTATATTACCTTTGGTAGAGTGTCGTGGCGTCGCAGCTCATAGCAACCTCAAACTCTTGGGCTTAAGTGATTCTCCTACCTTAGCCTCCTAAGTAGCTGGGACTACAGGGCCTGACACAACGCCTGGCTATTTTTTTGTTTTAGTTGTCATTGTTGTTTGGCAGGCCCGGGCTGGATTTGGACCTGCCAGCTCTGGTGTATGTGGCTGGCACCCTAGCCACTGAACTAGAGGCACAAGCCACCCATGCTCATTTTAAAAAGACCTGGTCAATCATTACATAAGTCCACTTATAATTTTTAGTACTTAGATAGCTCTAGGGTTTTACATTTAGGTCTTTAATTCTTTGGTGATCATTGTGAGGTAGGGTATGAGATGGGATTTTCTTTCTGGCTAGAGAATCAACTATCACAATTTTATTCACTAAAAAGTCTGCCCTTTCCTGTGTTGACTTAGAATGCCATCCTGAACATACACTAAATTTGCATACACATTCAAGTCTGTTTCTAGACTTCGTATTCCCATTTCCTGACCTAACAGTAACACTTAGTTGCTTGTTTCAGTTGTTTCATGCACTTATCTGACAGACTAAGCCTCTCTCTTTCTCCCAATTCTTACTATCCCTTCATATTTTTACATCTCCGCCTGGCTGTCCACTGGAGCACAGAGGACAAGCATGATGAAGACAGGGAGTTAAGCAGTGGGTGATGCCATGTAGACTCTTGGATGGTGAACTCTACCTGGAAGGCTGTGGGTGTGGCCCAACAGTAACACAGAATGAAGTGCATATCACTTCTGTGTGGAAAGGGGGAAGAAAACAAAACTGGATACAGGGAGACTGACTGATGGTTTCCATGACCCAGGTAGAAGCATGCAGTGACCTAAAACTACAAGTAGCTGCAAAAATGAAGATAAGTAGACAGATTCCAAGATGCTTATCAAGTACGATGAATAAAACTTGGTGAGAGACTAGATTTAGGGCTGTGTGTGAGGTGCAGAAGTTTTGGGCTGAGACCACAGTGCAGATGCTGCTGCTACCTCAGGTATGGTATGCAGGAAGGAGAGGGCTAAGACTACAATTAGATTCAGAGATGGGGGAAAAACAATGACTGCAGTTTTGAAAATATGGGTTAAACATAAAAAACCATTCTTGCCATTTGCTGCTTATGAGACCTTGGATGTCAGTCAATTTACTTCCTTGGACCTCAGTTTCTGATTCTTGGTTAAGAATCAGACAGAATTCTTATACAGACAGAATAAGCTATAATATCACCGTCTGCTCCAAAATTCTGCTGAGAGAAGGTGGTAGCCTAATTCACTGTGGGCATGCTGAAGCTGGGCTGTGGATGACCTAGGAGTAAGGAATAAAGCAGGCCCAAGAGCAACCATCTACTTCAAGTTTCCTTACAAAATCTGGCAACATACAAGAATGCTTTTGTACGCCAGCCACGCCTATCTTCAGACCCGTGCTCAGCGGCACCCTGCTCTCTCTTACTGTGCCTCCTGCTCATTCACCCATCTATGGAGCAGTTGTTTTCCCCGTACATGGAACCCTGTGCTGGTCCTTCCTCACCTTAATACTCCCTTTCTGATCCGCTCCAATTCTCTCTTTGAATCTTGGTAGTGGAAATGTTAAAGAACAGTGGGATACCCAGAGAAGAAATCTAGAGTAACAGGAAGGTGCAGGCTTTTTCTTCTGTCAATCTAATATAATTTCACCAATTTTTCTGCTTTTCTTGCTCTACAAAAAACTAGACATCCACTCATTTTACCTAAAGAAAAAAAAATCCTGTTTATCAAGAGAAAATGCTATGCTTATTGTACAGAAGAAAAATGTCACCTTCCAGAGATAGCCAATGTTAGTATGTTGGACGTGTGTGCATATTACAGGCATTTTTTTTCTTAGAAAACAAAACAGATGAGCCAGTATATAGTTTCCTATTCCGATTTTTTTACTTACTATTATTTTGGGGCCACTTCTTTACATGTGAGTCTCCAATCTAATGTGACCACTTACTTATCAGATATCCAGGCAGACTCCAGAAAGTCAGTATGAGGAGAGGTGCCCCTCCCCTCCATCCCCTCCAATCCCATTTTAGCAAGAGGTCAGTTAGGGCCAAAAAATAACCCCTACAACCAAGGTTCTCACTTGCCATGCTCCCGTGTGTGGCCCAAGAAACTTTCCAGAAGTGGCAGAATTACCTGAGTTTCAGCTGTGACCGCACCTCTCCAAACTCCAGCTGGAGTAGCTCATTATAGCAGGCCATGATGTTGGGGTTCTCAATATATCGCTACAAACAGGAAGGCAATTTTGTGGATAAACAAAGGTGCTTCTTAACTCTTCTAAATAAACTTCTCGATTTGGCAAATGAAATCTAAAAAGTACTTTGTTATCGTATCGATGAAGACATGAAAGAGAAAATTTATGGGCACCAAGTTAATTTTTTTTTAAATCAGGTCTAAGAATGCTTTCATTTGGGGTGTTAAGAGTGTTTAATCAGAGGCCAGAATATGGAGAGGAGGACGCTTACTAATTCCTATTTTATGTCGGACTTTCAGGGTGCATTCACAAAAAATACTTTATCCTCTTTAAAATCACACAAGCTCTGGGGAGCAAAAATATGCCTAGATTTCTATTTGCATGTATTTCACAGAGGGAACCCCCACTTAGGCAACATTTTCCTACACTGACCTCTGACAGTGGCACAGCCAAGCCAGGCAGGCCATCATTATCTTCCACAGTGGAGGTACTGGCAGAGGTCATGATTTGCCCAATGTCTTTTAGTGCTGTGGACATTAAGTATTTTGTGTAATAACCTTTACAGAATGGAAACATCTGGTGACAGATGGACCCATTCCACTACCAAATTATACATGCCATGAAGACATCTAGGAGCCACTGCTTTCTATCACACAGTTCTCTGCAGAAGGAGAAATATTTGTGAACATTACCCCTTCCCCATTTCTGTGACTAGCTCTTTGCTTTTACCTGCACCATAAAGCAATAATGGTCCCCCTGAGGGGAAGCCAGGCCTCTTCAGGCCAGTATCGGCAAGTCCCAGCCAGACCCACCTGGGAAGCATGGCCAAGCTCTGACCAAGGTCTCATCTAAGTGTCAAGTAAGGACCCAGCCCCAGGTTCACACCTTGAAAGCTGTATAGTCTTAAACTGGGAACTTACCCATCCCAAGCCTGCTTCCTCACCTGAAACACGGGAAGAATTCCTACTCACTGTGAGAATAAACAGAGACAACAAGAAAAAGCATTCTAAGCTCAAACTGCTACAGAAAGGTAAAGAGCAGCTATGGCCATCCCTGAGAGGGCAGGCAAGACCTCTGGGCCACAGTCAGGAGGGTCTCCATGCCTGTGAACCAAAGCACAGCCTCTTTGTTACCCAGAGGTCTGACAGGTGACATGGCTACCAGCTCCCACCATGTCTCAGTCACCCAGGACCCCAATGGGAACACCCAAGGACACGGGAACCTTTTGCTGACTGGGCAAGGACAGTAAGAGATTTCTGGGCATAGTACTATTCCACACAGCAGATAAGGGGTGGTGGCCCTGAGACAGACAGGAGTTCCTAGCGGCTGTGCAGGTGAGATCTTGAGATTGGGAGCGAGATATTTATTCATCCAATTCCAAAATGGTATGAACGTTATATATCCATAAAAAATTTTTTTATCCCAAAAGTGGATATCAAAGTAAAAAACCTAGCACTGGTAACCAAGCCCCAAGCATACAGCATCTCACTCCCATTTACCTGACCCCTTTTTACATCTGCTTTGCTCTGAGCGTCTAAATACTGTTCTTTATGTCTAAACATCTGGTCCTTCCTATCCTTCTTCAACTTTGGTTTCTGCTTCAAGGACTCCACAGGGCATGGAAAGTGTTAAATCAAGCTCAGGGATCCTCAGAAAGCCAGCAGCTACACCCTCTGCTCACACCCTTCGACAGGGTCTGGGGCTACAGAGCCGGCAGACTGTTTGAGCTGACCCCACCCTGCTTTCTCTAAGGCATGGCCCATATCACACCTATGCTAAGACCCAAGCCCCATCCTGCTAGGCCTCACCCAGTGATTCTCAACTCTTGGTGACATATTAGAATTGCTTGCAATTTGAAAAAATAATACCAACGTGCAGGCCCTCCTCAGACCAAGTGAGAATCTCCAGCAGTGCTCTTCAGGGTGACAAACCAAACTCCAATCCTAGATATTTTAGTCAACAAACACTCAGCTGCCAAGTCCAACTGAGAAGGCAAGCAGGCCCTCCACTCACATTGTGACACTGAACCGCCGCTGAGCCGCAGAGCAGTTCCCTGGCCCACATCTCCAGACACCAGAAAGCTCACCACAGCACCACTTCCTGGCCAGCACCACCACCTACGCCAGCGTCTTCCCCTCGCTGTGCTGCTGTTAGCTGTCATTCCCTCAGCAGTATTTCTCGGGCTGCTTTTAAGATCTCTCTGTTTTTTATTTTTCTCAGTTTCACTATGACGTGTTCTCTTTTTTATTTACTCTACTTTGGATTTATTGGAAATTTTGGACCTCTGAATTAGTCTTTTATCTGGAGAATTCTCAGCTTGGCTCCACCCTTCCTCTTCTCCTAGAACTCCAGGTATAAAGACACTAAACTTTCACACTATCTTCCACTTTTCTTGACCTAACTTATTTAGTTGTTATATTTCTGTGCTACATGTGCTGACCCACTGAATAAGTTTTAAATTTTTTAGTTACTTTGTTTTCATTTCTCAAAATTCAATTTTGTTGGGGATAAAATTTGCTATGTCACATTTTTAAATTTCCTCTTTCCCAGCTTGTCTTATCTTTTGTTTCTTTACATGTAATAGGTCTACATATTCATAATGGTCCATGTCTGAGAAGTCTGAGGTCTGTCTCCATAGTCTTTCTTCCTGTTAGCTTTCACTTACTGTCTTTGTCTCCCAGGGGATTGGGAACCTTTGACTGAGTGTTGCCTGCTCCCCTGACCAATTCTTTTTTTTTTTTTTTTTTTTTTGAGACAGAGCCTCAAGCTATCCCCCCTGGGTAGAGTGCCATGGCATCCCGCTCACAGCAACCTCCAACTCCTGGGCTCAAGCAAGTCTCCTGCCTCCGCCTTCCAAGTAGCTGGGACCACAGGTGCCCGCCACAACGCCCGGCCATTTTTTGGTTGCAGCCATCATTGTTGTTTGGCGGGCCTGGGCTGGGGATTCGAACCCGCCACCTTAGGTGTACGTGGCTGGCGCCTTAGCCGCTTGAGCCACAGGTGCCGAGCCCCCTGACCAATTCTTTATGGAGATTCTTTATGGCCAAAAATGAAGTTATCTTCTGTATTTGCTCCTTCGAGGCACCTAAGAGAACCACCTGTCCAGACCACTTCAAATTTGAGGTTTTCAGACTACTTTGTTGATACAAATTGAGGCTACAAATTTGTCCAAGGGTCAGTCCTACTTAAGATCTCTCCATCAGGATTCCCAAGGCCTCATTTATAATCAGCTGACCAGATGCTCCAGCAGTCTTTTGCTTAGGAGAAACCAACAGATTGAAGCTGGGGATAGAGTAAAAGGGAATTGTGTTTGGGTTGCCTTATCTCCAGAATCCCTGAACTCGCTTTTAAAAAGTTGCTTGTATACGTGTGAGCACTAGGGCAATACATCCTATGGTATAATTTATGATGAGTGTGCCATAAATGATCTTAATGTTTAGATGATTTTACCAGGCATAGTTTTAAGAGCTAAGAAAGTGAAGTGCTACAGATTAGATTAGCAGGTTATAAAGTCAAACTAAACTGTAACAGGAGAAGGAGAGTAATTTTTTTTTTTTAAATCAGTTTGAAACTTTTGCTAGGTACTGAACTGAGAACAACATATCGCAGTGGATTATGACAAGGAAGTGCGTACATACCCTTGTAAATCCAGCAGCAATGAACGGCATTAGAGACAACTCTTCTTTATCCACCCTTCAAAAGAACACAGTATAAAAGGTTAGACATAGTTTTTTCAATTACATGTCACCTCTTTTCCTATATACTAATTTAAATAATACTTTTTCACATAACGAATACTTTCAGATAAATCAGATTAATATAAAAATAAAAAGTTGAAAATTATTTGTTTCAATTCATACTGATCTTTTTGTCAATATGTACTGTAATACTTGAAATACAGAGATTATATCAGCAGCCAGAATCTGGGAGCATCCATGAATTTAAAATGTAAAAAGTTTAATTCAAACCAAGTTAAATTCCCTATTTTCTTCTACTTTCAGTTTAATTTTTTAAAAAAAATCTCCTCCCCCATACGCCCCAAGAAAAAAGTATAAGGGACACAGAAACATTTCTTCTATCTATAAAAATATATCAGCTAGATAATATTTATTTGATTACTTGTCCTTTTTACATATTTCTCTTCTTTCTTTATCCCCAACTTAAAGATAAAATATAAGATTCTGCCCATTTATGTGTAATTCAAATCCTGCAAGATATATGGAATTAGTAGCCCTCAGAAGACACCCTCAGAAAACATTCATCTTTTCAGGAATGGAGTTCTCACATGGTTTGCCTCTCTAACGTGAAAGTTAGTTCAAAGCCACAAAACCTAGCGTGAGTGCAGAAAAGTCCCTCTTGGAACAGGAGAAATGAAATAAAAAATAAAAAGAATAAAGAACAAAAGTCCAAACTACAAAGGTCACACCTGTCACACACTCAAGTTGTTCTTTGGCCAGCTATCAAAAGCAAGCATCACACTGACACCTGAATTTTGACACCCCTCCCAAAAGTAAAGCTTACCTGCGTACTACACCAACAATAACTGTGTTTTCTGAGAGTTTTGATGATCTGATAGACCTTAAAAAAAAAAACTTTAAAATAAATACAAAAATAATTCTTAAAATATAACACAAATATACTTAAACAATCTTGGTAGAACAACTAAACTTGGAAGAGGGTAGAAGAGCAGAGATCCCTTCACACTCTGGACTCATTTTCTTGGCTCCTTGGCCCTCCTCTCTTTTGGGGACATAATGCTCATCAGCAGAATGTGGTAACCATAACAACCAGGGAGCAGGAAGCAGCGTGGAGAGAATGTGTGTTCTCTTGCTCTGGGCTTTTTGGGGGGAGGCGGATAGGGGCTGAATATTTTCCCTACTTTGTACTTAACATGCAAGGAGCTATTTGTTTCTTCCTACCAAAGGAAAATGCTAGTTTGTGTGTATTACATAAACTTGGAGGAAAGGAGCCCAAGGGCTGGCTCTTCACTATATTCTAAACAACACAAAGAATGAAGGATTCCTAGGTAAAATGAAAGCTAAATTAACAAGAAAAAAAAACACAAACCAGGAAATGTAAGATTTCATTATTAGTCAGAAGGAGAATCAACACTCAAAAAGGTTAAGAATGGAGGACTTGACAAAAAAAGCACAAGACATTGCTCCCTCCAGTCACCAAGGAGTGTGAGGCTCCCACCAGGATGAATTTAACCCATCTGGAGAGGCGGCTTTAGAGGACACAGGGAATGAAAGCACAGACAGAAGGTCAGAGCAGAAAGAAGTAAACATGGTACAGCAGAGTAGAGAAGGTGACACACAAGAGCTCTGAACTCGTCCTAGTGGGGAGAAAGCCGGGCTGCCTGGAGAGGAGCCAGGCCACAGAAGGAGAAAGGAACTCGGCTTCAGACCTAGAGGAAAAAGACTCAGTTAGAGAGGGACTTCAGAAGGAGGGCTTGGAGAGTCACACCCAAACTGCTCTGCCAGTCAGATGCACTGCTGCCTGCAGAATGTGTCCAGGACGGGACAGAGACCCACCGAGACTGCCACATCTGCGTCAGCTCTGTCAGTTCAAGAAACAGAACCAATACTAAATCATGGGACACAGAAAATGATTTGTGCAACAGTTTTTCAATTCTCCCAAGGATAGTACAAAACATAACCATTCCAGATTCACAATAGAGATTTTCTATACACAATGGATGCCTCAGTTTTCATGACCTTTTTCTATTAAGGGCCAGAGAGTAAATATTTTAGGTTTTGCAGGCCATAGGACTGTCACAACTACTCAACTCTACCACTGTAGCACAGAAGCAGCCATACATAATACACAAATGGATGGGTATGACTGTGTTTTGGTTTTTTTTGCCTACTGCTGCCTCTGGGTATTTGGGCCTAATTTTCTTGCGGAACCCAGGCTGAAAAAGGCCTTGGTGAGGGAATCTGCTGAGGAATGGAAGTTGCCCGGGGGGTAGAGAAGACCTCCAGGGATCAGCCACCTCCCTCACTGCTCATCTCTCCACCTTCTTCAACATTTCTGCTCCCAGTGTCCACTTGGTACTCTGCAAGATCTAGTGTACCAGCCTAAAGGCTCTGCAGGGCTCGCCAGCCAGGTGCCAATCTCCAGTCCAACCTAGGGAGCAGGCAGGCTCCACTTTCTGCAGAAAGCAAAGGAGAGACACTTAGGCCCACAGGAGGGGTCACTGGCACAGCAGATACTCAGAGCCAGGGTACTCATCCAGCTGGTGACTAAATTCATCCCAACACTAATCTCAAACAGGGAGTAAGATACATGACTCACAAATGGATTTCCATGACTTCCAGGGACACTGTATCTGCTTATGTTGTCACTGTGTCGCAGAGATTTAGAGAGAGGAAAGGCAAATTTAAATACGCAGCCAGTCACCTCACACCAGCTCTCTGAAGAAAACCAGAGATCTGAGTGACATGATGGCAGGGAGGCAGATGTGCAGCTGATCTCAGCAAGGAGTCTGGAACATGAGGTGTGTGGCCCTGGGTAAGGATGAAGTGGAAGGGAGACCTCATGAAAGACTGTGACTGTTTTCAGGCTCCTTATGCCTCTGTCCCCTTTGTACAATGTGGTAGAAAAGACCATGTCTCTGTCCATCTCCCTCTGCTCCTTGGGTTTCTGACTGGATGTGGAAAGCAAAGAACGCAGAGTGGCAGGTACAGCAGGGCTGGAGCCTGGCCCCAGCCGGCCAACAAGAGTGGTGCTGCTCTGCCGGGCCGGGCCGGGCCATCCATCTCTCTGGTCGGTGCCGCCCAAACCCGGGCCCAGGAGAGCATGATGAGAGCCACACACGGCCTCTTCTCATGGCCTTCCTTTAAGGCCACTGGCATTTCAGCCTCCAAGTGTGAGTGGATAGGTCAGGATCCACTTCCTGATTCGTCCCCACAGTACCATGGGCACAGTGGAGATCACTTTCCTTTTCTGTTCTCTCAGATTCTGACGTACCTATTAGTTTGCTCTTCATTTTTTATTGCTGTGGTCCATGCTTGCTTCTTTGTTACCTTCATGGATTCTTTGACAGGAAGCTGGGAGGAGGTACAGAGAACGAGCACTGGACAGACGGCTGTGTGGCTGGCCGAGGCCCCCAGCTCTTCCTTCTACTCCACTCTCCCTGGCAGCCAAATGATCTGTACTCCATGCACAGACTGTGTCAGGGTAGCCACTGCCCACAGGGCAGGATCCAAAGCCTTTGGCTCAGCACACAGGCTAATGTCAGCTGCCCCACTCCCGGGGGCTCTGCTCCACTCCCGCCTGCCCAGCAACTGTCCACACTGAGCAGGGAACCTGGATACCCTGCCTATTCTTCCCTTTTACTTCTAGTGGGGCCACTGCTCCTTCTACTGGGGCCATTGTCTTCTTTCCTCCTTTCAAAGCTTCTGCTCATCCTATAGGACTCAGCCCACACATCCTCTGTGAAGCCTCTTCAACACCACACCACAGCAGTCTGTTTAAACCTGCTTCTGGGGCCACTCACACGCCTGCACAGGAATCACTTGCCTGCCAACTAAAGCTTTAGCTCCTCACAGACGAGAACCACACTTTCTTCATTAATGTAGCCCTAGTACCCACACGGTGCTGAACCCGAGAAGACCACAGCAGGGTTCGTAAGCTGGTGGGTTTGGAAACATATCAGACACAGAACACTTACCAGGGTATCTTACAAGGAGTGAAGGAGTTCCAGATACCCCCAGTAGAGAGACCACAGCAGGGTTCGTAAGCTGGTGGGTTTGGAAACATATCAGACACAGAACACTTACCAGGGTATCTTACAAGGAGTGAAGGAGTTCCAGATACCCCCAGTAGAGAGACTAAAGATGATGCTAGTCATTTAGAAAGGTCAGCAGTGTTGATGAAGTATCCCAATAAAGAAGTGAAAGGGCAGGACAGAATTCTGCAGAGCTCAGGTTCATGAGCCATGTCAGTCTCCTGAGAGAGGGCAAGCCAGTTCAGGAAGGGAGCCTGGGAGGATTTCTTGATTTAAAAAGTCCATAGTGGGCAAATGTCCTTACAGTGTTGATCTTAAGGGAGATAAACCAGGGAAAATGCCAGAGTCAAGACAAAACTGACTTAGGATAATACATCAGAGCCTGCTCTTGCCTATAGAAAATTCACTGCAGATAGCTCAAGGATCCCACACCCATCCCAAGTCCTCACCCAATAAGACAGAGATTATATAGTGGAACACAGCTAGTGAAAAGGACTTGAGATTCCTCACCAGAGCTACAGTGTCAGGAAAGACACATTACCTGGGACTCCACTTGCAAGGTATACTCTCCAGCTTGCACAGGGAGAGAGCTGTTCTGTCACTATTCACAGGTCCATGCAAACCTTTTTAGTTCCGGAGACTGTTTCTGAGGGCTGTTGACTGGAAAATGATACTTGGAGGAAGCAGCCTTGATGAGGCTGGGATTTGGAGCCACGCTCTGTGAGGAGCTCCAACAGCAGCAAGCATGTACTCAGTCTAAGACAGGGTGTCTTGGGAAGACACAATTCTGTCCTCAAACATTGGATGTCCGTCATGGGGAAGGGGAATGGGCCTGTTCTAGCAACCCTGTGGGTTTTATGTAAACAGGAACTTGTAAAGCTCAGGGCTTTCGCTTGGGCTGGCCTAGATCCCCAGCAGACGCTGCATGGAGGGTGGCAGGAGCTTTGTAGACAATACACTGACAGTCTGTTTCTCCACGACCGCTTATTAAAAAGTCCAGTTCCCATTCTTTATTTTAAAATTGCATAAAATTGTTGTTTACATGATGAGAAAACACTGATTAACTCTACTGCTCACGAAATTTTGCATTTGTGTGAATTTTTAACAGTATTATGTAACATTACATATTTTTATTATGCTATTTAATAATTAATACATAATAGTATTATGTAACATTATGTAATTTTAATATGTTATTTAATGAAATAAGTACTTTTCATTTAAACACTTCGACCCTACTAGTCTATAAACTCATAAAAGACAAGCACATCATTTTATTTCCTTTTGGTCTTATACATGGCTCAATAAAAATTTAGTAAATGAATTAACCCATTTATTTAGAATATTCTTAAAATATATAATACTACATGTTCTATTAAACAGTAGAGTATGATTTTACATTATTTATATTGCAACACAATTTTAAAAAGTAGAGCATACACTTTTTTGCTTAATGATACAGGATGATCTCACAGAGTCATCTCTGTGACTGTGAACTTCCATTGTCCAGCATGTACCCATGACTAGGTTTGGGCAAGTTTCCCTGGGCACCTCACCCCCGCCTCACCTTCCCATCTTGGCAGCCATCTAGCTCCCCTTAGATACCCACCTGCCCTGCAGCACTCCACCAAGACTAAGCAACATGTGATTCAGGTGCTTTCCTCCCTTCTCTGATACCCAGTGGATGTTAGGGATAGAAAGGATGGGGGAAACAAGTGTTCCAGATTTACAGTGGAGCTTGAACACTCCCAGAGAAGCCAGCGAGTCACCCAGAAACAAGCAGCTGGACAGGGAGGAGCCAAACCTGGACCCAGACCTGCCTCTACCAGCCTCAGCTCTCTCTACCTCCTGGGTAGCAGTCCCTGGCAGATGTGCAAGGTGACAGGCCAGCAGACATGTCAACAAATCTGGGTTACAGCAATAATGGCTTACTGCAGAGTCAGCCAGACTGAAGCAGGCAAGGTGCAAGGCAGCACTTCAGGTGCCAGGTTGAGGCCTGAAGAGAGACTCCAGTGGAGACGGTTCCACCGGGACAAAAGCTGCACGGCCTGACTGCCAGAAGATGGGTTTTCATCACCAAGGAGATACCTACATGTCCAAATCACCACCATACCCTGCAAACAATCGATCTTTCGATATAATGCCACTTGCTTGTCACTTCAATTTTTAACCCTTAATTGTAATTGACTTAAATCTTTTCTATCTCTTAAAAATCAGGAGCTTAAATGTCCTTAAAATTAATGCTATAAAATTTTGTTACATTAAAATTATATGCATTCTCCCACATAAGGTTTTCTCTTAAATAAAATGTATTTTACATCACCTTGCTTCCATTAGCAGCAAATAATTTTCTTTACAAAGCACTTTTTTTCAGATTTAGGGTTTGCTATCCAGAATTCTCTCACAATATTGATATTCTGCAAGTATTATAAATAAGACACATTCATCTAACACTAGAAGAAAATTTTCTTTCATTTTCTTTTTTGAGACAGAGTTTCACTATGTCACCCTGGATAGAGTGCTGTTGCATCATAGCTCACAGCAACCTCAAACTCTTGGGCTTGAGCGATTCTCTTGCCTCAGCCTCCCAAGTAGCTGAGACTACAGATGCCCACCACAATGCCTGGCTATTTTTTTGTTGCAGTTGTCATTGTTGTTTTTAGCTGGCCCTGGTCTGGGTTTGAACCTGCCAGCCATGGTGCATGTGGCTGGCACCATAACCACTGTGCTACAGGCGCTGAGCCTAGAAGAATATTTTCTAAGTTTTTATAACTTTAAAAACAATCTGGAAAATTACAATTTTTATTGCAGTAATATACAGGTGCTAGTTATGGTTACTTACACATTAGGTTTCACCCTGACCTTTAATGGTTTTCATTCCCATTTTCTTAATCATTTGAGTTTTATGCAAAGCAAAGCAAGACAAAACAAAAGAGACAAAGATCAATCCTAGAAATAATGAGGTTCCAATGTCTTGCTTATTTGACATATGTGGAAGGTAACTTAACAGAGACTGAATTTAATTTAATGTATTTCTAGGTTGCATTCATTGTCACAAATACCAGTGAGACTACTGGGGACCACTCTGGGCTCACCTGCATAGTGCCTCTGCATCCAGCTGCCGAGGATTCCTGTGGTCGATGATGATGATGTCATGGTGGTTGTCCAGGAAACAGGCAAGGACAGCCTGCGCGTCTTTGGTGACTGTGAACTTAAACCCTGCCTTTTCACATGCCCTGCAGAATCCATTACATTGGTTATCTTCTTTGGTAAACACTAAAAGTACCTGAATCAAAAGATCACAAACACTAGTTTAAAAAGATGTAGAATTATCATTTCTTAATAAGCCACAGAAAGATCCCAAGTATTTCCAAGGCAAGCACACAGATGTGGTCATAACAGTCTGTCAACATAAATCCCTCCACACATAACGCAGGGGCAGTACTGCTCAGCTCTCTGAAATCAGTGCTATTCTTGTATCTGCTCATAGACAGAAATTCCCAGTGCATGGATCATATACCTACTGGTTTTGCAAATAAATCCACTGGCAGAATTCAAAGGCTCAATTAAGCATTTTATCTTGAAATATTTGATAAGCCTTTCATCTTAAGTGAATTAAAACACACAAATATTTATTTTAGCTAACAAAAAGTTAACTGGGTAAGTCCTCAGATGGCAAATGTTAATATTTCAGTAAAAGTATTAAAACACTTAATCCTTTAAATAATGTATTTAAATGTTTTTAAGTGAGATTTCATGTAATTCCTCTAAGTTAAAAAAAAAAATCACTTTGATTAAAAGAGGGGAGACTAAAGTATACCACAGTGCTACACTTCAAAACCTGCATGTAATGGGACCCAGGAGCAGCACAGGTCCAGGAGGCAGGACGCAGCATCTGTGCTCTGCTGTCCTGGTGCTAGCTTGGATCAGGTGAGGCCTGTATCTGGGGCCTCTTCCCTACCCAACCACTCCCTCTCATCCCTTCAGGAGCAGACTGACCACAGGGCAGCAGTGGTCAGAGAGGGCAGCCTGTGAGTCAGAGACTGTAAATCTATGTATAAGAGTGCATATTTCTGTCAGCCCTTTTCATATTTAAAAAAATGTAATAGTGAACACGTATTTGTGTGCTGGAAGCCCCAATAACTTTGAGAAATTTTAATAGGTTATTTTCTATTTCAAATTTTGGACTAGAAAAATTATAGACATCTTTTCTCTGATAGAGCTGATTTAGCAATACAGAGAAGACTATCTTTTTACTTTGCTTTTTTTGTTTTCTCAGACAGAGTCTCATTCTGTTGCCCAGACTACAGGGCCATTGTGTCAGCCTAACTCACGGCAACCTTGAACTCCTGGCCAGGCTCAAGTGATCCTCCTGCCTCAGCCTCATGAGCAGCTGGGACTACAGGTGCCCACAATATTTTAGGGACCCCTAATTTTTTCTATTTTTAGTAGACGGGGTCTCACTCTTTCTTAGGCTAGACTTGAACTTCTGAGCTCAAGTGATCCATTTGCCTCAGCCTGCTAGAATGCTAGGATTACAGGCCTGAGCCACCACAACTTACTCTTTGCTTTTTATATTGGAAATATCAAACCTGCACAACAGCTGTGAACAAGGAACACTCAAGAAACACTAGGGTGCACTTCCTCGATGCTCAAACAAGGAACACTAGAGTGCACTTCCTCGGTGCTCAAACAAGGAACACTAGGGTGCACTTCCTCGGTGCTCAAACAAGGAACACTAGGGTGCACTTCCTCGGTGCTCAAACAAGGAACACTAGGGTGCACTTCCTTTATGCTCATCAACTAATATTTTGCCACCTGCGCTTTGCTTGCCCTCTCTTGACACACGCACAAATATACACATTTTTCTTCACTATTGAACCAATTTAAAGTAGGCAGCAGATACTTCTTTATCTCTAAATACCTCAATCTGTATTTTTATATATAACCATACTATTATTATCAAGTTCAAGAAAATTGATCCAATCCTTTTACCTAAATAAAAGACTATTTTAAATTATAACTTTAGGCCCTCCCACATACCCCTTTTAAAGAAATAAAATATGATGATTACAGCATGGTTCATTATTACCTGAAGTTGATCTTGATGAAATCTCATGGGGCCAAACTGCACCTCAGCTACTGCTACCTGTAAGAACAAGAGCTGCTTAAAAATGGAAGGAGAGAGGAAAAGAAGCCTGTTTAAAGTTTTTCTCTCTAATCAGTACCAGAAATAAAATAAAATTTCTACTCTAGAGAAATATTAATTTGTAGATAAAGAAATTATTATGAGGCATTTCCATATGGGCCCCAGAAGAAGTGGGGACCAGGAAAGGACAAGTAGAATAAATCCAATCCCAGCTTTGCCTTTTACTAGCTATGTATGACTTTCATTATTCAACCTTCCTCACTTTCAATTTCTCATTTGTCATAAAGATCAAATCATCTTGCAATGAAGAACTAGCATTCCAACAGCAGACACTGAGTAAAACAGCATGTCCCTCCGTCCCTACCTCCCTGATGATGATGAAGTCTATATCCCAGCGGCACATAACTGATGCAGCCTACAGTCTGAATCACAGAACATCAGGGCCAAAGAGGCCTCCTTGAGAAACAGTTAACACTTTTCATTTTATAGAGGAAAACTTACCAGCAAGCGATTATCCATTTGGGAATTTAATGCTAAAACACACAAAGGTAATAAACACAATGTCAAAACCAAACTCCAGTGAGTATTGATAACATCAACGGGAGGCTGAGCAGAGTCTGGTCACTGTGTTAAGGGCTGAACACATGTCTTCTTATGAACTGTACAGCAGTGTGCTCAGGGTTCACAGCTGAAAAACTGAGGCTCCAAGTGCCTTGCTGAAGGCCACAGCCAGACCCAACCCAGGTCTGTTTAGCTCTATGACCTGTTCTGCAAACCCAGGGCCAATGGAAGGTTTGAATTATCTGTGTACAGCACAAAAGAGCCCAGGGCCAGGACAGAGTGGGCTAAAATCTAGTAATGAACTCTAGCACTAGGCTACTACCCAGAGGAAGAGACACATTTTGTAATTTTCCCAGAGACTCTGTATGTGTTGAAGAAATTCCACTGTAGAGCTCAGGGTGATGATATGATTTCATGCCTACAACACAAAAATGGAAGAAGTAGATCCATAAGACTTCCTATAAGATGCTTTCTAACTTGACTGCCCACTTACAATCTCTCCCCTCAGGCAGTGGTCTATCCTAGCAAACGCATGTAACAAAATCTGTTAATGATGTAGGAAATCCACATATATTTTTAACCATAAGAAGCTGATGCCTACTAATTGTGGGCCACTGGCTCAGTCTCTGAATTGCTTGGTAATAATTCTGTCTCTCAGAGGGCATATGAAGAATGAAGGTCACTGCAATTCCAGACCTAAGAATGAAGAGGAGGAATTTTATGAGGCAGGAGAGTGAGGAGAACAACGAGCCACGGCACCACGCATCTTCTTGTGTGTGTGACTGTGGGCCACATCATACTACCATAGCTGGGTACCAAAGCCAAAATTTCTGAAAGAGAAAAGGTCCATGAGGGCTGGGAGAGTCTTAAAAGACAGCTCTGGAGAAGATAGAGCTTCTTCGTGGAGCAAGAAGCACTAGAAATCTGTCTAACTAGGTAATACTGCACTGGCAAAATGTGTCTGATAAGACTGTTTTGGGAACTCTGGAGTCTAATGGAGGTTTGCAACTTCCAAGGATGTCTTGGACAGTAATTGTGGTCACTTTTGGCTCTCAACACAGAGTAGTCACCCATCTCTGAGCTCCAGCCCACGGTAGGCAGCTACGCATGTGTTCCTGAATACAATGTGGAGCCAGGGCGGCCAAAAATGATCCTATCCTCCAACTATCAGAGACCTATGATCTGATCACTGCCTGCTGTTTCTGATCAGAGGTACAAACAAAGAAGGGGGTGGCCATTGTTGCATCTCCTCCTAATGTTGCAAGCCCTTCCCACTCTAGTAGAAATGACTTCTAGGAGACAAAAAGGGCTGGTGCCTTTCCTCTCCCCTTTTAATTTCTCCTTTCCCCATGGGAGTCAGACATTAGGAATTAGGACATTCAAAAGCAAATGTATATATGGAGAAATTTAGAAAGTGAGTTAGAAAGACCAGGGAAAGGCTCAGAAAATGCCCAGGAATACCTCAAGTTTACACCTTAGGCTGATCATAATCAAAAAAAGAAAAACAATGAACAAAATCAATAACAACAGAAAGGAAACTCTTGGGAAAAGCTGAATATTATATACAATGTTATCAAATTATTAAATTCAAATGTCATTTCAACAACAAAAAATCACAGAAGATACAAAGGAAAGTACAGACCATTCAAATGAAAAAAAGTCAACAGTCACCATTGCTGAAATATGTCTGATGGCAGATCTACTAGACAAAGACTTTAAACAACAAAATTAAAAATTCCCAAATAATTAAAGATCTGGAGAAAGTCAAGAAAATGATGTATGGAAAAAAAGGTCAATAGATGAAACCCGTAAATAGAAACTCACAAGAATTTCTGGAGATGAAAAATATAATAACTGAAATGAAAAATTCACTAGAGTGATTTGAAGACAAATTATGGCAGGCAGAAGAAAGATTCAGCAAACTTAAGAATGGAACAATTGAAATTATTGAATTGTTATTTTATTATCTGGGAAACAATAAAAACAAAAGAAAAGAAAAGAAAACCTAAGGCACCAAATGAACACCACTAAGCAAAACAACATGTGCACCATGGAGGTACCAGAAGAAGGAACAACATAGGGACCATGGATGTCCCAGAAGAAGGAACAACATGGGCACCAAGAACGTTCCAGAAGGAACGTGGGCACCATGGACGTCCCAGAAGAAGGAACAACATGGGCACCATGGACATTCCAGATGAAAAAACAACATGGGCACCACGGATGTCTCAGAAGAGGAAACAACATGGACACCACGGACATTCCAGATGAAGAAACAACATGGGCACCATGGATGTCTCAGAAGAGGAAACAACATGGACACCATGGACATCTCAGAAGAAGGAACAACATAGGCATCATGAACGTCTCAGAAGAAGGAACATGGGCACCATGGAAGTTCCAGAAGAAGGAAAAACATGGGCATCATGGATGTCCCAGATGAAGAAACAACATGGGCACCATGGATGTTTCACAAGAAGGAGCAACATGGGCACCATGGATGTCCCAGAAGAAGGAAGAACATGAGCACCATGGATGTCCCAGAAGAAGGAACAACATGGGCACCATGGACGTCCCAGAAGAAAGAAAGAACAACATGGGCACCATGGACATCCCAGAAGAAAGAAAGAACAACATGGGCACCATGCACGTCTCAGAAGAAGAAACAACATGGGCACCATGGACATCCCAGAAGAAAGAAAGAACAACATGGGCACCATGGATGTCCCAGAAGAAAGAACAACATGGGCACCATGGACATCCCAGAAGAAAGAACAACATGGGCACCGTGGACATCCCAGAAGAAGGAACAACATGGGCACCGTGGACATCCCAGAAGAAGGAACAACATGGGTACCATGGACGTCCCAGAAGAAAGAAAGAACAACATGAGCACCAGGGACGTCCCAGAAGAAAGAACAACATGGGCACCGTGGACATCCCAGAAGAAGGAACAACATGAGCACCAGGGACGTCCCAGAAGAAGGAACAACATGAGCACCAGGGACGTCCCAGAAGAAGGAACAACATG